TTATAGTCGACGCTACGGAAGACAACTTCCCAAAAATGGCGCCAAGCCTTAGAGCTGAACGTGTCATCATCATGTGTACCTGGGCACTCGGTATATCTGAAAACTTATTTAAAATATCTTATGAAACAATACGGTTTCTCATAGCATCGGGCGTGACGGGACACTAACGTGGTTAACCGCAATAATAACAACCCAGCATTCAATTATTTTGTAACTGCCACGGAAAAACTGCAGGCATCTAGTTTGTTTATACTGCTATCATTATTAAACGTTACATACGATAGCGGCCATTAGTTACGTTAATCATATTATGTAATATGGCCGAACGATTTAGCCTATATCTATCTTTGCGGTTGCGTTTTTCCACGCGGAAAAATAAAAGCCATACAGTAGGTAAGGCGCCATTTCCGTTGCTTCCTATTCCATAGGCTATCAGCGAAAGTAGAGGAACGTACGTATATATCGAATGGCGTCGTATAACGATACCCAGAAATAAATGTTGATTACAAAATATAGAAGAAAAAAAAAAAGCAAAAAACAGTAGAGCGCAAGGTACAAGAATCGTATTTTGTTAAGTTTGAAAAAAGATTGATTATAGATAAATGAGTAGACGGAGATACACACATGTATAAAACGAAAGAGTCGAGGAGATGATCCTCGCTTTACTTATCGTATACCAGAAATACCCTTGGAAAGATCGATGTAACATTCATCAGTACCGAAATTTTGTGCCTATCTCTACTAAAAAAAGGGGCAGGTTTCCTACGTATTGACGTAGAAAGGCGAGATCTTCTTTTTCGGAATTTTTGCGGAATTAATCAAGTTAACAGACCCAGTTATTTCTCATGTTTCGAAATGACTGCGCTATCAACTCCGTCGATGTAGCACGTTTCGAGTTAGTTGCCCTCAACAACCTTAATTTGGCTTTGTATCCACTGAAACTAGCTAAAACTTTTAGTGTCAATGAGATCGAATCTTCACTTCCGAAACGCAAACCTACGTTTGATACCAACCAAGGCGACGTGTGTCAGACACCACACTTAGTACGTAGCCTCTTCAGTTCTTCCTATCTAATTTATCCAACAAAGACCAAGGAAGATGAGAACGTATTGTATAATAATGCATTTCGTCATTGGACTGAGAAATAGGAAACTAGACATGAAGTAAATTTCATGTTTGTTCAAGTGACAAATATAGTATTTGTATGTATCCCATATATTTGCTTATTACGGCATTCTTACGACTTAAGCCAGCAGATCCTTAAGTGTAACAGTCTAGTTCATTGACGAAGTTGATACCGTTAGTTCTTATGAGTACACGAGTTCGGCTAACTACGTACAGACGGCAAGCGACGCCGCAAAGACTGGCACGACGATACTTTCTTTTTGCTCCATCACAAGACGTCTCATTGGGCAATAGCCGCAGATCGTACCTGCCCTTCGAACAAACGGCTCAAAGCTTACCGCAGCTAATATGTCCGCTATTCTCGATGACTCCTTCTCGGCTTGGATGAGTGGAAAAAATGTGAAATATATTTCAAACGAACCTAGCATGAGCAAACAACAAATTGTCAAAGATCCAAAAAGAGTTCACCCTAAAACATACCAAGCCAAAACCGACAAGGGGCACCAAGTTCTTTCCATTCAAGAAGCTATTATATCGGTAAAAATGTTGGGCATTTGCAAATACAGCCAATGAAGAAAAGTTGTGGTTTAAATAACTTCTAAGCTGAGTAGACAGACGCTTCTCTGTGACTCCTTTACATCGTGTTACAAGAAATACTTGAGCAAGTTACGTTTTCCCATTGTAATGAGCTTTTTCAATGTAGTTGTCTATGCTTTATTTAGTATGGTCATTTTATGCGTGTTAGTTATTGAGGGTACGTATATTTTAATGAGTTTAGGCGTCCATCGTCGTTTGGTAGAACAATCCAAGTCAACAATTTCGTCATAGAAATTACATTGTTTTTCATAGTTATAACATCAATCTGCAACGTCATGCAAAGATCTGGCAGATTCATATGTGTTAAACATAATTGCGCTGTGACTTTTTTGTTAAATACCAAAAAATCAAGATGGCCAAACCGGCAACAAACATAATGTTTGTCATTTTCCTCATATACTTTTGCAAGCGAAAGCATGTAAATATTGACTATATGCGGCTTGCTTGCCACTGACACAGTCACAGATTACTTTCAAGTGACTGCGTCTTACTATTTTGAAGTTTTCGGAAATTTTATTACAGATTCCGTGTGCTATATCTCCTACAAGGATATGCGGGTCATAAAAAAGAAGCGAGCTAGCATATCTGAAAGTTAATCAAGTGAAAATGCTTATTACATGATATTGATTTGTATCGTTCCTGCTCCATCGAGTGCACCCCCAAAAAATTTCGTTCACTATCCGATGGGAGGGAGTATTAAAAACAGACTATTGAGAATTAGTTCTTTTTTGTAGGAATGGAATGGATTACAGTTACACCATATTATTATAGATCAGCTAAGTGTTAATAGTTCCATAGAAAGGTGCTGGACACGTAGTCATTGCCTCTGCAAAGACTCTGTGACCATCATGATCTTCTAGAAAATATATAATGCATACGTCCTCCATATATATTGCATAAACCTTAAAGGATAAAGAAGTTGAATAACTTACGAAGAGACATGTGCGGGGTGACGGAGTTCCTAATCTTGCGTGGCTATGCGTATCTATCATTCCCATGTTAGAGCTCCCCATGTTAGAAGTTATTTGCCAAGTGAGAAAAAACTAACAAAATTCAAGTTAAAGAGAATTGTCTTTCATGGACCATCCAGTTGCAAGCTCTCACTGATTCTAGCTATGCTGGCAGAAAGGTTAAATTCAGCTACGACGGCCGAGGCGCTAATGCGGCCTCTAGTCTAATAGTTTTTTATCGTTTTTTTATACATAAATATATTTTAATATGATAATACTCACTCGACCCCTTCTCCTAAGACCGTCTGATACCTGAACACGTTTTGAAATGTCACTTCAGATTCCCGGCTTTCTCTTTCCTGATTGTCTCCAGTTTGTACTTCCCCGCTGTCCCTCATGAAGTCTCGTTCTTCTTGCTTTTTCAAGTTATCTTTTGTTATTCGTAATAGTCTTGAAAAAGGTCGTTCTTCTACTACACTTTTCTGCAGATATAGGGGTACGATCTACGACGCCTTTCGAATGGCCTCTCATTCTAAGTATAGCGTATGCTAGGTTAAGCGTACTACGGAGCGCTCTCCCTGTAGCGTATTGGACATGTTCCTGTCAGACCCATATCCAAGATAACTTCTAGATGTTGCACTATTTATCATTTGATTTGTATGCGATTTTTCTCTTTTCCACTTTTAGCGTAACTCCTGCAACTCTTTTCCTCCTTTATTGACAGATTGTCTTAATTTTTTTTCGGCGCCACCTGAACAGAATGATCCAGCGTACCGTGCTGGCAAATGCTTCAGTTGGCTTTTGCTTTAAACGAGCAGATTCTCCATCTATCTGTGGCAGACGTCACAATTCTCAACGTTCACGCGAAGCCTTATCTCTGGTAGCAAGCTGATGCATCTAACTCCGTCTACTTTATGAAAAGATCCCTAGGTACAACATAAGCAGGAACTAGGAAGGCAGAAACTGGTGTATACCGCTTAAAGACGGCTAGAAGAGAATGATTCGAGCTAACAGTTGCACGCCTGTAGCATCACTTGCCATGTACGAGGCTCTGCTACACAAAATTGGCCAACGCACTGATCAGTTTGTTGTTATCGTTGCATGTAACTGAAGGGCAGCCGACCTTTGAAGACCAAATACAAATATTACGCTGGCGATAATGTCTAATCTGCGCTTGATTAACTAATATGAGCAGTGGATAGGGCAGCTCGTGCGGGATCACTACAGTGAGCATCTGATTAACTTGGTGCCTATGAAACGGCGTGTACAAGGGAATCTCCATTAACCGGAAAAAACCCATTTAACTTAATATTTCTATACAAAAGCTGGAATATAAGACCGCATATACTAAATACACATCTAACTTTCAAAATACACTATGTACATCTATATGTAGTCAAACAGCGAAATGAATAGAAGTGGTATATCACAGTGTTAGCACTCGTTACTACGGTAACATGGTCGATGCCGTAACGGGGACATTGTGCAGTAGAATAGAAGAATAAGAAGTAAATCAACACGATATCTACTTTTCCGTCCAGCTCGGTCCTGTAGTCGAATCTTATTCTAGTTTGGCAGCGTTCTAGTTTTATTTTTCGTCCATAAAATGAGAGCTATTCTACTTGATTATTACGATTATGCAACAGATTACGCTGCCGCTGCTACCCTTTATTTCTCATCATTTTTCAGGCGTCTGCTATCCTCTCTTGTGCATGTCCCACAACACAAAGCGACAACCCCTCTAAACGCGGCTATGGCGAACCGGGCCATCATCAGCAGCAAGCTCACCTCATGGTCATCATTCATATGTGCTACGACATCAGACGCCATTAACGGCCCAATTTCAGATAAAAGAAAATGCAATAGTACACAAACAGGACACCACAAAGCTAACGCTCGCTTTTTGAGTCGTCGTAGCTGCGACTTCATCACATGTAGTTTCATTCATTCGAAGCTTCCAATGTCCTCACTTGCTTCAAAAAAAAATAGCAAGAGTTTGTACCCCTGCGATCATGCGACTCAAATCAACCCCTGAACCCTTTTAATCATTGCAGGGCTATTGCCGCGTTTACTATGGCTATTTCGGCGTTGGCAAACAGTAGACCATTTGGTAGTCGAAGCCTGCTATACAAGGGCTCGTCTTTATATAGAACTATATGTCAGGTGCTACAACGACAAGATCAGCAGCTGACAACAAGCAACATATGCCCCTGCAGGTGTCGTCAACATCTGTAGCAAGCACAATAACTGCAACAACAAGTTACAGGATTATACATGAATAATTCTCAACTGTAGAAGAAGGTAGGTAATCTGGTGTTTATCACTCACCTCCCTGCGGACCTTGTTTGGCTGAATGACATAGACATCTATCAGACATTAGATACATACGCACGAATCGACAACAGGAAAGAACCAGAGTGGAGCAAAAACGGTACTGCAAACGGTTCTTTCGCCAGCAGCGAAAGTCACCGCTGCGTGGTGTACCGTTGTTGTGCCACTGAAGCGTCGGCTGCGATCGTCATTCTCCTGGTGACAGCTACATACGTGCAAGCCCGTGTGCACGAGCAGACGTGCACGTTGGTATTCAGCCCTCAGGTGATCAGCCTCCTCGCCAGTTATATCATATCAACTATCAACAAACCAATGGTAACTCCAGTCTGTTAGTTGACGCAGTGAGCCGCCAGCGTAGTATTATAACCACGGTCAGCGACAGCCAATTGTAACAGTTACCTCAGCGGAAGCTTCTGTAACAAGGGCAGAAATACGATTATAACGGTGACTCCTACATTTGTCGCAGAAAGATAATGGTTGGCCACAAGAGGCTCGACACTGATGTTAGGTATGTTTTTTTTTTTCTTTCCTTTTTTTGTCATGTCCGTTTATAGTAGCGACAGGCGACAGCGAACGTTCTCACTCTGTATCTACTCGCCACCATCTCGTAAATCTTCGCTTTCTCGCTTCCTTCGTGAAGATAGGGCGCCATCAGCATTTCTCTTTACCGTTCAATTCAGGTCATTTCATTTGTCTAGCCATTTTTGAGGCTCTGGCCCATATTTAGCGGTTTCGCTCCTGCTTCCTCTTTCTATTTTGCTATATTTTTCCTTCTTTTTCATCTGCTAAATTTTGTTCGCCTGCTGCATCTAGCTTTGCTTTTCGAAGGTACTTTTCTCAATCCCGCTGAACCAGTTTGTACCGCGATGGTGTATCGACGCCATCGTGAGTAAATTGATCTTTACAATTTGACGCCGATAGACCCCATCTATCTTACTGGTCTCGTCCGTTCCACTGCTTCAATTAAAGCACATCCAGCGCGCGATTCTTTTGTCCTGAAGGGAACAGCTCTGGCGCAGTGCACCGCACTGCGGTTCACAATTGGGAGACAACTAATCCCGTTTACCTGAATCTTGCTCGGCAATTGTCGTCTCGCTTCGTTTTCGTTTACTCATTTTCCCATAGAAATTTGTTGCCGCTGTTGCGGAACAAACAAACTAAGACGGCAGTAAATGAGGCTAACGTAGTTGGTGCTAAAGTACCTCACAAGTGATTTTACTAGAAACCAAAGTAGTTAGTGCTTGGATAATTTTTCACACACCAGATTGTTAATAGCTATCGCGATGAATGATGAGGCAGAGGTATTATGATTTCCAGGCCAAGTCATTAGAAAACAATATTAGCGAATCTGAGCCTGGCAAGGCATCGTCTGCGTCACACAGATACAAACGTTTTAGCTTGTTGGTGCAATGCATAGTATGCAATGCCTGACCGATTCCATACTGGTACCGTTCGATTATTTGCTGTAGATGTTGGTCGAAGACGACGCCAGCAGATACTATTTTGGTTTTTGTTGTGTTATTTGCCTTTATCAATATCGTTCCTTTTGTCAGAGCTACCATTGAGCAGGCGAAATGGTATTTGTCAATGTCATAAGCTACCATAAATCGATAGATCGACGATTTCAAAAAACGTAAAAACTCATCTTTTGTTGACAACTCACGCAAACGGGCCCACGCGCCTAGTGCTATATTTAAGTATGCTATAGAAAATAATGTACTGCAATAGGTGTCACCCGTGACGATTGGCATTTTCTCTGAAAGCAAGCTTTGAAAAAATCAATACGGTTTTGCTTCAATAGACACTGTAATTACAAGCTGACCTTACGAGTCAATAATGCCTTATTGCGCACCATTTTCTGTTAACAAACATAGACGTCTCAGGCATTGCAATCTTAGCCGTCACAAGACCGATTCGTCTGTTGATGAAAGCTGCGTTAAGGACGCCTATCTGTACTGACAGATCTATTTCCACCTCTATCCGAGTCCCGTTACCCCGCATGTGTGCCGCACATGTGGCGGCCTGACGCCAATATTAGTATTGGCTTATAAATGACTTAAAGCAAAACCTAAAGGTCATGGCTTTGGCAGTGTTGCCCTTCCAACTACTTATGGCAGCAGTAAACGTTCTTTTACATAGAAATTACGATTTCGGCTCTCAACGTGCTGAGCTACTAGTTGATATAACTAAGGTTAAAGTATCGACCACTTTCAGCGATTTTAATATACGCTCGGTATACCTTTGTGATATACATGTATCAAAGTGTCGATAATGAACAATTGCTTAATTAGAAATGAATACGAGAGTACTAATCTTACATTTTTAGGAGCGCAAGACCACTAGCTGCCCTCGCCAATAGATAGATAAAGGGCAAAGTAAGAACGATTCACGTGCAAATATGAACGCGGACATAAATGCCATAAAATCATAACAGCGACATGTATTTTCTCCGCGTTTAGGATCGCTAGGTATCATTCAATGTAGAAATACGTGCGACTGTTTCCAATTGCCACTAATGAAGCCATTTAGAAAAGCTTTGCCTGCATTTACAAACAATTCAGATGTGTTGTATTACGATAGCATGGTAGTATACGATAGTGAAAATGCGCCTTGCGAAAGTCTAGAAATGGGTTCAGGAACTTATACGTATCCGCAGCTGAAGCGCAGCGAAAATAGTAAGCTTTCACGTTACTTAATTTACCGTCTGCAACTACCGCTTTGAAACTCTACATGCAAATAGTATCAAAATACATGAGGTTAAAAATCCCTATAAATATCTAGTCCGAATTAGCTTGAGGCTTCCCAGTTTACTAGCACAGATAGCCACTTCCAATATTACTGGAACTACGTGCCCAGCACCAAAAAAGAAGACGCTTCGACGACCTGATCACGTCTCCTCAAAAAGTTCCTGGTCTTCAACTATAGTGTAACGCACTTCTCCATCGAGAAATTCCAGAGGCGTGACACAGAAACTGATCGCCAATATGAGATGAGAACAAATAGACACAAGCTTCTAAGAAAAGACTGGATCATAGTAACTGTGTATGAAAAAATGCCACCGGACACAATCGTCGTTTCCCGATGCTTCCCCGTGTGTCTAATCTCTATTATATTGCAGTCACAGCTACACTGATCAGGATCATGCTAAGAGATGATGACCGTACTTGTAGATGTAGTATTCCCCTTGGCGTTCCGACACTGCCAGGTAATCCTGCACAGGAAAACTTGCACTGTTCCTGTTTCGACCTGTCATTTTACTCTGGATTTTGAGTTTGGCTTGTGTTTTGCTATTCATTATCTCATAAACATTGACTGCTGCTGCTGGGACCGATGGAGTGCCGCAAGAGACTAAATAAGAAGCGAACGATGGGGAGTGTCGCTGACATCATTAGCCTAGGTCCTCCTGTTTGATTTATGGTACAGTGCATCAGATACGCTCATCTCTGATCTGACAAATAACAGCTAACTAGACCTTACAGCTGCAAATGTGTGTATGTATCCGGTATTGCCATTAAACATTGTCTTAGAAAACTGGCTTGTGACACGAAACTGTGTGCTTACACCCAGTTTGAAGTCTGGACTGTTTGATTTGTCGCTGAGTTTAGAAGGCACACACGTTACCACCACACTATTACGGGGATGGCCTTATAGTTCGAAAAGCGAAAGGCATCTATTGTGGCCCGCTCTAGCCTAAGATCCTTTAGAACAGCATTGTGCACACGACTACAGAGACACAAAATGTTTTACAATCACGTTTCAAAATGGGAGAAGCTATAGTTCAATTTATGGTCGAACACAAACATCTCATATCGTGCGTCATTTGATGTTATTCATGTTAATAACTGACATGGTATAACTAACATGGTAATAAAACATTTCTTGGTACAATCATCTGACTTGCAGCGACGACTCGAGTCATAGCTTGAACTACTTGTTTTTTATTTGCAGGACATAGCATAATCCTTAATAGGTATGACACGGACCAACTCTTATTACTGTCAAATATTCTCGTTATATTGGTGCTGATATAACAAGCCTAAAAGATTTTGTTGTGTTTACCTTTGTGTTGGGTACTCTTATCTTTGAATTCGAAAGTTCGAAATATCTGCCTTTAAACTATAATTAGATATCATATCTGACGGAAAATCACGTGTTTCATAAGCGTGTAAGAAATTAGAATATATACATATCGTCTAGAGTATAGTTTACTATCGCAATTTCTGCCAAGTCGCATTTATAACCCCAGTAGTTATTTACTCAGCCAATTTTTGGCGGTTCCAAAAACGAATATTTGATAATGGTTATTTTATTGTGTACGTAGAACGTTTTCGTTTAGTGTTTATAGTTTAGGTGTGCACTTATATTCATCAAACATAAAGTCGCGTGTTTAAGTTCGTCAAGTTTCTGAATAAGCCACTACTATTGTTACGGAAATATCAGACGGCCCATACACAAATTCAATTACGTTTTCTTCGTCCCTTTTCTTCATCACGCATGTATATCTGTTATCAGTCCGCGTAGGCTCCCTTCATATACCTACCCATTAAATGTGTACGTATGCCTAATTACCTACGTCGTGTGCGGCGACACAAAGTGGCCATTAGCAGTAAGCGAGTGCGATCAGCAGGCAAGAACTTGACACGACTTAGAAGCCCCAATCTGCACTCCGATAGCAGCTAGTGATGCCTATTAAACTGCCACACGCCGGCCGGCCGGCCGGCCGGACTGACGCTGACAGCTAAGACGCTCGAGCAAACGGTTGAGCGTTCAGACCGGCGCACAGACGCGCAAAGAATCGTATATTGTAAAGCGGTGAGACGCCACAAATTGGTAACAAGGACGACTGCGGCGGACGACTCTGATTGCCGGCGCTGTTCTTGTTGATTCCTGATGATCATCCGACAGCACAGATTTTTCGATGGCTTCGCTACGTCACTGTATTTCTGATCAGTATCGCGTATGAGGTCAGAGGAAAATGCCGCAAGTCATTTTCCCGCCACCGCGCCCCTTACCTAAGAAATAATAGATGTGCTCATCTGGGCAAGAACAGGTACGAAGTGGCTTCTTGTCCGGGATGTTGATAGCCGCGCACCTGTGGGTTCCATTCGACTCGGAAAGGGAATCGGCGAG